GTGCCTAGCACGTAGTGAGTAGTCAGTCAGTATTTGTTGTTGTCCTCGGTATAGCTAGTACTAGTAGTTATATCAATACCAGCTGTGGTCGTACAACTAGAATTAACCATTTCTGCTGCTGCCACTGTAGCCCAAGCCTCTGTCCTCGGTCCTCGCGTGGGCTAACCACCTAGCCTGCTGTAGTCCTGCACTTCTACCAGCCGTTCTGCACACACCAGCCAAGGTCGTCTTTTTAAGAACATAATCAAATGCTGTCACTATCCTGCTTAAAAACTCTCCAGAGGTTTCTTCCTATTCCAGTTACAATAAAATCCAAAAACGTTTCCATGGCTTTCAAGGCTTTCAGTGATATGGCCCCTGCTTACTTCTTAATCTCCCCTGCTATTCTCATCCCTCCTGGGCTTCATAACTCTGGCCTTCTGGTCCTAGAATATGCTCATCATATACCACCTTAGGCTTTCGTATTTCCTTTTTTTTTTTTTTTTAAGAGGTTTTTGCTATAGAGCTCGTGCACTTGCCAGAAAGACAGAGAGAGACAGAGAGATAGAAAGCGAGAAATCACCCCCCAGGGGGGATGGCCACGCCGCAATCCCTTCTTCTCCATTCTCCTCTTGGGATCCTGGGCCTGCACACACATGCACCTGGCGTGAGTTTAAGCCACCGGGTCCAGGACTCGAACTGTGGTCGACTACATGGGAGTCCAGCGACATGGCCATTATGCTAACTGCTGGTCCCGGTTTTCGTGTTTCTTATTCCCTGTGTCTGGAATGCCTTGCCCTCAGAAAGGGCTGGTTCCTCAAAACATTCAAGTCTTAGTTCGGATGTCACATCCATCCCTGACCATCTGGTCAGAGTACCCGCCTCCTTAATCTCATTACCCCCTTTTTGCTGCTTTGCACTAGCAGGGAGGGGATTTTCTGTTCTAGGTATGTGTTTGTCTTAAGTTCCAGGTAGCTAGGGGCTCTGGGTTTATCGTTCAAGATCAGGGGTTGGGCGCTAAGTCAACAGGGCAGGCTGTAAGGAGTGTTTCCCTGATGGGAGCTGCTTTTTCTGGTTACTTTTTTTTTTTTTTTTTAAGAATTATTTATTTTTATTATTGCTTCACTTGCTATAGTCATCAGAGAGAGAGAGAGAGAGGCCAGCAGGTGGCATGGTGGTTGGAGTACTGGACCCCCACATGGTCCACTGCAGTTAAATCCTGGACCTGGTGGCTTGCTACCTGGATATTCTTGAAAGTCTGGAATGTGCAACTCATAGTTATTAGGGAACATTTGCACTTCGGAAAAAGGTCCTTGGGAATCTGTGCCTTTTCAGTTTTGAGTCACAGACTATATTTTAAATTGTTCTGGAAGGAAAAATGTTTTAACCCAGTTGCTGTAACTGCTAACTGTCTTGCTTTAAAAATACACAACTCTTGGGAACCAGCAGTTAGCGTAATGGCTATGTCGCTGGACTCCCACATAGTCAACCGCGGTTCGCATCCCGGACCCGGTGGCGAACTCAGCCTGGGCGCATGTGCGTGCCTGCCCAAGATCTCAAGAGGAGAATGGAGGAGAGGGGATTGCAGCGTGACTATCCCTCCTAGGGGGTGATTTCTTGCTTTCTGTCTCTCTGTCTTTCTGGCGAGCGCACGCGCCCTATAGCAAAAACCTCTCCCCCCAAAAAAAAAAAAAATACACAACTCTTAATGGACACGTTAACACCCTGAGCTCATGTGGTACTGTTTTCAAAATAAAACAGTAATTACGTAGCTGAGAAATGATCACAGCTGCCAACAAGGAAGGGTCAGAACAGTGAGAAAGAAGCCATTTCCTGATTTACTTAGGAAAACCGTCCGCACACTGCATAGAAGCCAGCCGGCTTAGACTTGCTTTTTTTCAGAATTTGAGTGAGTTGTCTGATGATTTCACCATCTTTGAGTAGCGATAAGCACTTAGAATCTAATGCTCGTGTTCTCTATTCCCATGTAAAAGGGGTACTCTGTCCTTGTTGAGTTGAATCAAACCTTTGTCCTGTGAGTGTAAATCTTTTGCCACACCCTGTAGTTCAAGCTGCTTCTGCTAAAACGTTTGTGGTACGAGAACAGGGCCCGGGGCTACATGTGTAGTGGGGTCTCAGTCATGCCGAACACAGGTTGAGAGCAGCCTCAAAGGGAGCATGTTAACACGTTCATATTGTTTAATGCAAAATAGGATTATCGTTTTGCTGTTGCTTTTAGAGACTCTGTCTTTTTGAAAGCTTATTTTGGGGCCAACGGGGGTATGGTGGTTAAGGCATTGGACTCCCCACATGGCCCACTGCGGCTTGAGTCCTAGACCTGACATCTTGCGCGGGCTCTCTCTCTCTCTTTCTCTCTCTCTGCTAAGTGCACGTGCACTATAGCAAATTAAATATTAATAATAAATAAAATTTAAGTAATTCCTTTTTATAAAAATACCTGTTTGTTTATTTCATGGGTGAGAGAGGCCACACTCCCGACAGGTCCTCATGCAGTGATCCGCCCCCAGTCTCAGCCAGCCCCAGATCATGGGCACACAACTGTGGTAAACCAAAGGAGGTTTCAGGACATGCCACACCCTCCCATATGGGTCAGGCTCACAGAGTGCCATGTCCACTACAGTGCCACCGTCTGGGATTGGGCATAGATTCCAGTGGGGCCTGAAGCAGCACCCAGCCCCAGGGGACGTAGAGTGTGGTGTGGCACAGACCAGGGCTGACCAGCTCTGCCCCCTGGGAGTGAATATGGCTGCAGCAGCTGCTCGCCGCCGGCACAGTCCGGAGCACTCCCTGAGGTCAGTCGGGTTGAGAGCATTTGTTTGCTCATTCATGAGTGACTGGTTTTGCTAAGTCCTATTCATGCGCTCGAGTTGCTTCCAGTATACCAGAGGAGACCCGTGTTAAACAAGTACACACACGCAATTTCAAATTGTGATTTGAGTTATGAAGAGAAAGCATCATGTTATATAAGGGAACACTGGGCAGGGGAGGACCCAAGGTAGGTTAAGAGTTTTAGGTAAGGCTGAGACCTCAATTGGAGAGGAGTGGGCTAGATAGAATAAACCAGAGGGGAGGGAACCAGCAGTTAGCGTAATGGCTATGTCGCTAGACTCCCATGTAGTCGACCGCGGTTCGCTTCCCGGACCCGGTGGCTTACAACTCAACGCTGGTGCGTGTGCGTGCGTGCCCAGGATCCCGAGAGGAGAATGGGGGAGAAGGGATTGCAGCGTGACCATCCTCCCTGGGGGGTGATTTCTCGCTTTCTGTCTCTATGTCTCTCTCTGTCTGTCTGGCGAGCGCACGCGCCCTATAGCAAAAACCTCTCCAAAAAAAAATAATAAACCAGAGGGGAGACCAGCAGACAGCATAATGGTTATGTCACTGGACTCCCATGTAGTTGACCACGGTTCGAGTCCCGGGCCCAGTGACTTAGAACTCACATTGTATGTGTGTGTCTGTGCGCACATACATGCACAGAACCTTAAGAGAATGGGGGAGAAGAGGTTGCAGCATAACCATCCTCTCTGGGGAGTGGTTTCTCACTTTCTGTCTCTCTGGCAAGTGCGTGTGCCCTATAGCAAAATCTCTCTCTGAAAAATAAATAAATAAATAAATAAAATGCCAGAGTAAACTGCATGGCAAAGGCCAAGAGAGGTGGTGGAGCATGAAAGATGAGGAGAGTGGGGTGGGCCCAGTGCAGCTGAAGGGCACACACAGTGGGAAAGTGAGTGAGCTGTGTGGTTCTGTGAGCCACATCCTAGAACGCCACGTCAGACCGAGCAAGTAAGTGAGGTGCCGAGGAGAAAGGTGCAACCCCCGCAACTCCCTGACGACACAGTGTCTCCTTGTTTGGATCTCCACACACACGCAGTGTTTTCTGTGACCCCACAACCTTTTTCCTAAGGCTGGTACATGGCCACAGGTCCCTAGGTGCCATTAATGTGCATCAGCACTACAGCATCTGTAGGGTCCTGGCCTCCATGTAGACCACCCGGATGGATTAAACAGCTGCGCATTGTACTCAGTGGGTACAAACGTTTCGGTTACTTTGACCATCCACCCCAAGAAACACGAATGTTCTGGTAATATGGTAGTTGGGATGTGCAGTCTCTTAATTCCATGACCACTTGGTTGAGATGAGTTTCCTCCTTTTGCCAAACGACAGTGTGGTTTTTAAGGTGTGACCAATCTTTTTTTGGTCATTTGCTTCTTATGAAAATTAGAGGAGCCAACAGGTGGCATGGTGGTAAAGGTGCTGAACTCCTACATGACCAACCGTGGTTCGAGTCCCGGACCTGGCTTGCTTTCTGGACCAGCAGATGACATAATGGTGGCTGAGTGAGGTTCAATTCCCAGATGTGGAGGTTTGATACTCACTCCAGACACCTGTGCGTGCATACCCAAAATCCTGAGAGGAGAATGAAAGAAAGGGATTGCGATGTGGCCATCCCCTTGGGGCGGTGGGGGTGGTGATTTCTCGCTTTCTGTCTCTCTGTTTCTGTCTTTCCAGTGAGGTCATGTGCCCTGTAGTGAACATCTCTCTGGGAAAAAAAAATTTTTTTTCACTTCTCAAAAACAACTCCAAAAGTCATACGTCATGACTTTCCCTTAACTACTTCCCATTATAGATCAACGTGAAAACAGAGTCATCTTTTATCCTGTTTCCATCCTCTGTGAGAATACAGCCCATACCTGTCGTTGTCAGTACGTGTTTGCACCAGGAAATTATCGCTTCTGGTCACAGTCTTCACCAGAGGCCAGCTATTACAGTGAAATACCTTGGAGGTGTACGCTCCTCTTACTGTTAGGGTGTTTTCTGATAAGTGGTCCTCTCCCTGAGCCCGTGTCTTTGCCCTCTTTAAAATCACTGACAAGTGAAAACCATTTAGTATCTTGACCCCTCAGGATAGCGTGTTTAGTGCAGGGAAGGACTACTGATATTCCACCTACACTGGAAATCTGAAGAAGAATGTACTGAGCATTACTTATTCTTTCATCCTTAGATCCTTCTCAGATCTTCAGTGAAAACTCTGCAACACAGGATGGCTGCAAATAAGCCCAAGGGTCAGAATTCGTTGGCCTTGCACAAAGTCATCATGGTGGGCAGTGGCGGGGTGGGCAAGTCTGCGCTGACTCTGCAGTTCATGTACGATGAGGTAAGTGCTCGTTTTAGAATGGACACCTTGGGGCCTTTGGAGTATTTCTCTGCTTCGTTTGGTGCTCTTTCAGATGGATTTCTTCAATCTTGAAAGTTACTAACAGTTCTTTCCACTTTTAAATCTAGAGCCAACATTTACAGGGAGACAGAGAGAGGAAACATGAGAAATCAGCCTCCAGTGGGGATGGCCACACCACCGTCCCTTCTCCATTTCCCTCTTGGGATTTTGAGCATATTCACAATCCCACATGAGTTTCAAGCCACTGGGTCCAGGACTCAAAATGTAGTCTGCTTTGTGGAAGTCCGACAGCTTAACCAACACACCACCTGCTGGCACCTAGTTTTGGTGTTTTAATGGAGAGTATCAACTTGAATTAATAGAACTGGTGAGACATGAGGTTAGCATATGTAAAGTGTCCTTTAATAACCTTGGTGAAATGTCTGTTATTTTTTGTGTACATGGCATGGCAGTCTAGTTAACCATTGAATAGGTAAAGTCTGTGTCACTAAAATTTAAAATTGCTAGGTATGCTACAAATTTGCATGCATGTATTTATATTAAATTTTAATCATCCCTGAGTTGAGGCCTCAGCCTATATACAGCAGTATTTTTTTTCCCCTAGAGGACTGTTATTAAGGGTTAATAATTTAAGAGTTATTCTTGGGGCTTACAGGTGGTGTGGTGGTCAAGACACTGGACTCCACCATTGCCAACCATGGTTTGAGTCCCAGACCTGGCAGCTTGCTTTCTCATTTTTCCTCTCTCTCTGTCTCTCTTTGGTGAGCACAAAAAATAATAATAATAATGATAATGATAATAAATAAATCTTCTTGAAAAAGAGAGAAAGGAAGGGGGCCAGCAGGTGGTGGCATGGTGGTTAAGGATGCTGGACCACGGTTTGAGTTCTAGACCTAGCAGCTTGCTTTTATTCCCCTTGGACCCAGTCAAATTAAAAAATAATAATAATAAATAAAATGAAATATTCCTTAAAAGAAAGAGTAATTTTTCCTCCCAAGACAGTGATACCCTCATTTTACATATGAGGAAACAAACCTTACAGAAGTTTACCCAACTTCCTTAAGAAGAGTGATCTCTGATGAGTAACAAATGTTAAACCTGTCTTCTGACCAAAAAAAAAAGCCTTACAGATTTTTACTGCTCCATGTCTTTTTCTATAGCATGTATTTATTTGATACACACACACACACACACACACACAAACACCTCTTAAGTCCATCAGTACTCATGCTTGGTGGTGACTGAAATAAAAAGTTTGGAGAAAGAAGTTATAGCAGTTCTTTAAATAAAATTATTAATTTTCTCCATTTTGTTTTACAAACTATTCATTTAGTAACTAGCCTTCCTTCAAACTAATCCTTAGATTGGTTCCCTCCTGACGTTAAAGAAGCCAAAAGTAAGAGTATTCATATGTGTAACTTTTAAGGAATGGAAAACCACAGTGTTAACATGTATTGAAAAATATGGTACAGCATTATGTCTTTTACAGTTCTAAGTACACCATTTTCATCTTATTAGGTCATTGGGACAGTCATGATGTATTTTCTTTTTCTTTTTTTTGAGAGGCTTTTGCTATAGGGTGCGTGCACTCACCAGAAAAACAGAGACAGAGAGATAGAAAGCCAGAAATCACCCCCCAGGGGAGTGGCCACACTGCAATCCCTTCTCCTCCATTCTCCTCTCAGGATCTTGGGCACACACGCACATGCGCCCGGCGTGAGTTTAAACCACGGGGTCTGAGACTCGAACTGCAGTTGACTACATGGGAGTCCAGCGACATAGCCATTATGCCAACTGCTGGTCCCAAGTCATGATGTATTTTCTGTTTTTCTATGCAAAAACGCATCTTGACTCTGCCAACAACCCAATAAAAATATTTATTTATTGAGTATCTACCGTGTTCCAGGTACTGTTCTGGGCTTTGAAGATCCATGATGAGCACGACATTGAAGATTCTGTTCTAATGGGGTTAAATTCTGGTTGTGGGGTACAAGCATCAATCAAATAAGAAAATACCACATTATATAAATATTTATAGGAAGTAGTATAGAATAAACTCACAGTTATGTGTATATACATGTATTCAAGCTATTAGTAAATTCTAAAGGTTTTTCAATGCATATCAAAGTGAGATTTGTGAGGTTGATGATATGGTTGGGAAAACAAATTTGTTTTATTGTTCTATTTAAAACTCAGAAGTCTGGGGAGAAATCTTAAAGTTCAATTCGACCTACCGAGTGGTATTTAAATCACTTTATCCACATGGTTCATTTTGGAGAAAGGGAAGATTCAGTGATACTTTTAGTTCTTACTAAGATATTGATGTATAAGTTATTTCCACAATTGTAGTATGAACATTTTTGTTTAGCATTACATAAAAAGTGGTTCTTTTAAATTTGATTAAATATATGGGTAATCGTTTCTGCAAGTATAGTGTTTTAAGGAGGAGAGGCACAATTTTCGAGCTGTAAACATTCTAGAAGTGGGTATACATATACTCAAGCTAACATTAAATACACAAGATTTATCAAGGCATACCAAAATGAGATTTATGGGGTTCAAGACAGGGTTAGAATGTTAAGTTGTTTGACTGTACTATTTAAAAATGAGTTTGGAATTGAACTAGAAATATTCATGCAGCCCCCTCTTTTTGCAGATGAGGAAACTGATAAAATGTCTAAAATGAAAATTACATTAATATATGTTTTCCTATCGGAGAAACTGAGTTAAGAGTGCTTGGAAACTCTGTACTAGTTTAGCAGCTTCATGTGAATCTATAATTATTACAAAATAAGTTTTGTAGAGTAAAAATAATCATTAGAAATGGATGTGTTTTTATCTTTTCTAGTTCGTGGAGGACTATGAACCTACCAAAGCAGATAGCTACCGGAAGAAGGTAGTGCTGGACGGGGAGGAAGTGCAGATCGATATCTTAGACACAGCTGGGCAGGAGGACTACGCGGCGATCAGGGACAACTACTTCCGGAGCGGGGAGGGCTTCCTCTGTGTCTTCTCCATCACAGAGATGGAGTCCTTTGCAGCCACAGCCGACTTCAGGTAAGTCTGAGAGTGATGCTGCCCGGCACAAGGTCTCCTCCCCAAAACAAGTGGACAGACAGAGCTTCTCGCTGGAGAGCCTTTGCTCAGTCTCCCTTTTGGACACCACTCTGTGACTGTCCACTGTGTGTGTGTACACATCAGTATTCAGCACACTCACCATAACCTGACGGCGATTTCCATGCCAGTGGTGGTGGAATTGGAGTTTGTGATCGCCTCAAGTACCCAGTCTCTGTATATGTTTCAGAATAAAATCCGACTGCTGCCATTGTAGTTTGTCCTCGTCACGTGCTGGAGTTCTCTTGGACTTGGACTCTGCCCGTGTCTGTCCCTGTTTCTCAGCGCCTGTGCAGAGCTCAGCAGGCCCTTTGCCATCCTCCTCAAAGTACAGATACCCTGATGGCACAGAGTGAAATTTTAAAATAGTAGTAGTTCCCTGGCACCCTAGGTTGTGTTAAATGATTTTTTTTATATCTTACTTACTGTTTGCTTAACCAAAATCTACCATCCTGAGATTTGCAAGGGGAGGTTGGTTTTGTGGAAGGGGACAGGGGTTTCTCTGGGTATATAATTTAAGTTTGGCCTAGATAAAGTTCTTGAGTAGTCTCACAAACACTACCTGTGCAGTCAAGGGTGTTCTTTATATATCTCTCTTTTTGTGTTGTCTGCTTCGCTTATGGGGGTGGGGACCGCGAAATGTGTAATATACTCATATCCTCTATTCTCGAGGTTCACACAGCCTAGTTGAATGTAGAAGCCTTATGTAACCCAGAGCAAGTTAGTGACAATGTAGGAAACATTGGCAGTGATCATTACAGCGGATTCAGGAGGAGAAAGGAGCTGAGAAGCCTTCAGGAAATAGATGAACATGAGAAAACGATTTCCACAGATGAGGACAGAAGGCATTTGAGGTGGTGGAGCTGAAGACTGAACCAGAGCTTATCTGAAGCATTCCTTTTTTTTTTTTTTTTTGGAGAGGTTTTCGCTATAGGGCGCGTGCGCTCGCCAGACAGACAGAGACATAGAGACAGAAAGTGAGAAATCACCCCCCAGGGGGGATGGTCACGCCGCAATCCCTTCTCCTCCATTCTCCTCTCGGGATCTTGGGCACGCACGCACACGCGCCCAGCGTGAGATTTAAGCCACCGGGTCCGAGACACGAACCACGGTCGACTACGTGGGAGTCCAGCGACATAGCCATTATGCTAACTGCTGGTTCCCTGAAGCATTCCTTTTTTATGTGTACTTGGAACTCAGGAATTTAAAGGATTCCAAGAGAACATATTTTGCAAAAGACATGTCAGTGAGAAAGTATGAACTTGTTTATAAAATTGTTGATTTCCATTAGGAAGGCATTTCGTATATGTTGGAGAACGGCAGACCCTGTTAACTTGTGATTCTGGGAGACATGTTGAAAGCTGTGTACACGTCAGTGCTTATTCACTCATTCAACAGATGTTCAGTGCTTATTCATGTAGCAGGTCCTGTTCAAGGTATTGGAGTAAATGTTGCTACCGTCGTCACCAAAGCCAAAATGATATCTCAAGGAAATAAGGTGTTTTTGTGCCGAGACAGAGACTCTTGGGCTGTTACTGTTACAGAAAATAGGATGATTCATTACTCTTCTGGCCTTCATCCAGCTGGTTGCCCTGCCCATAAGGGAAATGGCCCTAGTGACTCACCAGGAGCAGGCACTGCGCCTGGCCCAGCCTGGAGTACAGCGGGAGTACTAGCTCTCCCATAGCCCGGCTGCTCCTCCCTGTGCCCAGGGCAGGATTGTTGCTTCCTCACCTGTATGTGCCGTGTACCGGTACAGCTCTGAGATCACACTACCACACGTGTGCAGGGCGTGATTTGAATGTGTCCTGAGAGCAAGACCCGTTTCTGTCTGTCTGTCTCTCCCTGGTACCTCTATTTAATACAGTCACTGACATATAGTACATGTTTAGTAAATATTTTCTTTGATTTGAAAACTCTTACTGTTTTGATTCTTACTTTCCTTATGTCTAAAATGAAGATGTTAGACCAGATTGTAAAGGTGGAACGTGGGTT